TGTTCCGGTTGTTCGTAGGCGCATTTTGTTACAAGACGATAATTGGATGAATTCGTGGAACATTTTAGCATCGAAAAACTTAAGGGATTTATCTTATAGAGCTTATTTGGAAGACCAAACCCTGTATAATTGGGCTATATTTTGTAAATATCGAAATAAGGTGAAAATGTAATTCGAAAGAAGAGACGTAGTTATTATATGAAAACCTTTAAAAATGTAGACTCTAGAAGTTTATGGAGAATTCTTCGAAATCATGGCTGCATTGGAGATGAAAACGTATTGAATGGACTTGATGCAGAAACGGTCAACAATTGTTTTGCCTCAAGTGGGTTATCAAATAGCTATGGTAATTTGAATTTGCAATCCTTTAACGATCATGACCATTCTTTTTCCTTCTCATGTATAACTACTGATGACATTGCTATTGCCCTAGGTAAAATCAAATCCAAGTCGGTGGGAGTTGATAAAATATCTGTGGAATTTTTAAAACTTATATTTCCGCATGTGTCAGGTTTGATTTTGGATTTGTTTAACATAATTTTGACTAAATCAGTATTTCCCACTTCATGGAAGATTGCCCGCGTTGTGCCAATTCCTAAGGTTTCCACAGTTTGTGATGCTGATGATTTGCGGCCCAATCTCAATTCTTCCAGTTATTTCCAAAGTTTGCGAACATATAATGAAAAATCAAATTCTCTTGAGTACAAGGAGCAAATTTATTGATGAGCAATATGCTTTTCGTGCGGGTCATAACACAACGTCATTACTCTTACACTTAACGGACACTATCAGATGTCACAGTAATTTTAATCGAGTTAGTGCATTAGTTTCTCTTGATTTGTCAAAAGCATTCAATTCGATTAATCATGTGATGCTGATTCGCAAGCTTAAAAATAAGTTCAATTTCTCATTTTCTGCATGTAAACTTATAAAGTCTTACGTACATGACCGAAAGCAGTTTGTTGAGTTAAATGGGATATCATCTACCATTATATCATTAGATTCTGGAGTTCCGCAAGGATCGGTATTGGGACCATTACTCTTTATAATGTATATGAACGATTTGTTAGAATACTTGGATCTCAATACATGTTCATTGCACATATATGCTGATGATGTGTTCCTTATGTTTAGTTCAGATCGATATAAAATGTATGATCCATTCTCAAGGAATAAATGCATGTTTGGAACGGACGTTAGGATGGACTCGGGATAATTCATAATATATTAACCCAAATAAGACAAAAGCAATTATCTTTGGTGCTCAAGTGCCTAATATCAATATCTTAATAGGTCAATCAGCCGTTGATATAGTAGATAGACATAAATGTTTGGGATTATTATTAGATAATAGGTTAAATTTTGACTCCCATATTGATGTTGTTCAATCTAAAGTCCACTATGTTCTACGGAAGTTGCATTTCGTGAGCATATTTTTACCAAAATGGGTTAAAATAAAAATGGCACATGCACTTCTAATGCCACGCATTTTGTATGCTTTGGAAGTGGTATCTGGCACATCTGATTATAACCTTATTAAATTACAGAAAATTATGAATATGATTGCCAGATTTGTGTATAACATTAAGTTACGTGAACATATTTCCCATTTTGTAAAAAACTTTTTAGGTTGTTCGTTTAGACAATTTATTGATTTCCGCAACTTAATACATTTCTACAAAATTATTAAAACGGGATTCCCTAAGCAGGTGTGCAATTTATTTACTTTCTCTCACTCGAGTAGAAATACCCAGTTAATAATACCACATATACATAATCTGTGTTTCGAAAGATGTTTTGTTGTTCGGGTTGCTCGATGCTGGAACTATTTACCTATAGAATTGCGCATATTCTCACACTCGAACAATGCATTCCGTTTAAAACTTAGAATGTACTTGTCTTCGTAGTATTATTTAATATTAGCCAATAACGAAATATTGCTTAAAATACTGTTTTTAGTCCGAAGCATCTATATGTAACATTGGGTAATGTTTTTGCCAATTAATTTTTATATTGTATATCTGTTTGAAAAATTGTTGAATGTAAATAAAGGCTGGGGAGCCAACAATAGGAAAATGTTAAATTTATTTCAGGTTTATTAACTGTGTAATATATTTTTTTGGCCATGAAGGCTTTTGTATTACTGAATAATTAAATAAATATTTGATTTCATCCAATTTCATGTTAATAGTCCTGTTTAATATACCCATAGTGGTGAAGGGTATCATATAGTCGGCCACGTCCGACTTTACTACTTTCTTTACTGGTTTGTACTATAGTTCTGAATTCCACCTCTTTTCCTACATCTAATATCAAGTTTATTACAATTAAGTACTCTACATACACATCAGCACTAGTTTCCGAAATCTCTTTCTTATTTCCATTACATAGATTAAAAATAGATCAGAATTCCAATTAAATACTTTCCAAATTGTTCCAAATTTAGTGAATTTTCTATTTACTATTCATTCTATTTACTATTCGTACTCAATACTACACTTCAACAGTAATCTGAATTCTAAATCTCAGGAATCATACAAATCCAAATCGTTTCAAATTTAGTACCATTTACTACTTTTTTTACCCAAAGGTAAGAATTTCTAAAACTACATCAACCCTACACTCTAACAGTAATCTTTATTCCTCCAAAGTCCAAATTGTACCAAATTTAGTTCTTTTGGTACTCATAAGTACAAATTGCCAAATGTAAATAAATTCTGCTTTTAAATAGTAATCGTAATCATTAAAGACCAAATTATATCATTTGATACCATTCTCTACTTTTGCTGCTTTCAAATAGTAATCGTAAGTCCAAATTTGAGAATTCCAGCACTATATGTTCACTAAATTGTATCAGATTTGGTACCATTCTGTACTTTTCCTACACTCCCAAAATAACCTATGTTGCAACTTTCAGGATTCGAGTTCTACCCGTTCACCACAGACCAAATTGTACCAAATTTTGTGCTTTTCGTACCCAAAGTACGAATTTCCAAAACTACCTCAGTCATGCACTCCAATAATAACCTTAAGTCTGCATTTAAAGATTCCAGCTCTATCCGTTCACCAAAAACCAAGTTGTACCAAATTTTGTACCATTTATTACTTTTCGTTTACGTAAGTACGAGTTTCTAAAACTGCCTCAATTCCACACTGCAACAGTAATTTTAATCATAATTTCTAGGATACCAGCCCTACCCGTTCACATAGATCTCAATTTTACTATATTTAGTACCATCTATTCTTGCTTAACGTAAAATTCTATAACGATGTAAGCATGTCCGTCTGTTGTAATCACTCTAGCGTCTAAACGAATTGAGATAGATCCCCCAAATTTGGCATAGATCTCAATTTTACCATATTTAGTACCATTTAGTACTTTTCGTACTTATGAGTTCGAATTTCCAACAATGTCTCAATGCTGTCCCATAACAGAGATGGAGAACAATCTCTATCCTTTCCTTCAAAACTAAATTGTACTAAACTGTACCATCTAGTACACATAATTACGCATTTTTAAAACTACCTCCATGTCCCTTTCTACACTCCAACCGTAAATTTAATTTCAAATTTTAGGATTCCAGCTCACAGACAACGTACAATATTTGGTACCATTAATTGTCCATAAGTAGGAAATTCCAAAACTACCTTAATTCTGTAATTTTACTTCCAATCTTAAGTTTTCCATTTCATCCGTTAAATTTTATTCAATTGTAATTGTATTTTGTACCATTCAGTACACATAATGACAAATTTTCCAAACTACTGACGTATCTCAATCCTGCACTCTAACTGTAATACTAATTCAAATATCAGCCTTATCCGTTCACGCAAAAACAATTTCCAAACTATTTGGTACCATATAGTACTTTTTGTTTCTATAATTAAGAATTTCCTAAACTACATCAATCCGACACTCCAACAGGAATTTTTATTCCAACATTCTGGAGTCCAGCTCTATCCGTTCTCAAATAATCAAGTTGTACCAAATATAGTACCACTTAGTACACATAAGTACTATGCATCCATATATCAATTCTACATTCCAACAGCAACCATTGTTCCAAATTTTAGGTTTCCAGCTCTCTCCGTTCCCCCAAATCCTAATTGTACCAAATCTAGTGCCGTTTAGTACTTTTCGTACACATAAATAGGAATTTGCAAAGATGTCTCTATAGCTCAATCTTCAACAGTAATCTTAATTTCAAATTTCAGGCTTTCAGCCCTATCCATTTAAGCAAAATCCAAAATGTACTAAATTTGGTACCATATAGCCTTACTTATAACCTTTATCCTACACCTTAATCCTACATTTAACAGCCATTTTTTTTCACAATTTGAAGACTCCAGCTCTATCTGTTCACCTTAATCCAACTTGCACCACATTTAGTACTTTTCGTACACATAAGTACGATTTTTTAAAGCTAGTTCAATCTTGTGCTCCAATAGTAGTCCGGATTCCCATTTTCCGGATTCCATCTCTATACACTCAACTAAATGCAAACAATACCAAATTTAGTACCATTTTGTACTTTTTATACACTTAAGTACGAATTTCTTAAGCATTTCCATACATCAACACCACTTCCCAACCTGTATTCCATATAAAATTTCAAGATTCTAGCTATATATGTTCAATATATATACAATTAGAACTAAATTTAGTAATTTTTAGTACACTTATAGGTCGAATTTCCAAAAACCCTTTTGTACATCTTTCTAACTTTCCATCAGTGACCCACATTCCAAATTTCAGAATTCTAGCTCTTCGCGTTTGCCTAATACAAAGGGTACCATATTTGGTACATTTCGTACCCTTCTAGTTCGAATTTCCAGAAACCCAGCATTATCTCACGCCTATACACCAACAACAACCCACACTCAAAATTTCAAGGTTCTAGCTTCAGCCGTTTCGTCTGGGCGATGATCTGTCAGTCAGTCAGTCACTCACTCACTTAACACTAAGCTCTTTTATATATATAGATATATATTAATATTACCTGTGAAGCCATATATATAGCAGCTGCAGCGACAGATATTGGAGATCGACCTGGTACAATATCCATTTCAACGGCTTTCTTTGCTATGTGCGTAGCAGCACGCTGAACCATATTTGGCAAGTCTAGAAAAAATATAACAATTTCATGATTTTTAGCTTCTCAACTATTAGATAAAATACACAAAATTACCAAGATTTGCACAAAATCTAGACATGAAATCTGCCGTTGTGATTAGATCTACGCTAGTTTCAAGAGCTTTGAGAGTCAGTTTGAAACATCTTCCAATTTCCTTTTTACTTATTTTACTAACAGCGCATATTTCCTTGAATGTTCGGGGGACGCCTTCTTGTCGGCAAGCTATATACAGACAAGCAGAAGCTTTTGCATCATTGGATCGTCCCTTAAGATTTTTACCATCATGTACCTGAAATTAAATTTTATTATAATCAGTAAAAAATATTACAATTCACGTACATCACATTTTATTTATTTAATACATTTTTGTAATGTCGATACTAATATCTACATTAGGGTTATGACTTGTTTACAACATGTATAAGATTATATAAAATATTAACGATAAGGCGGTTCTATAAAAAACTCACGACCACTGACGTAGCCAGAGGTAGAGCGGAGTCCTAAAATCTATAACATTAAAAACAAAGGTAAGTCTCAAAATAAATTATTAAATAATATCAAATTTCTTTAAATATCTATTTCTAAATAATTATATAATTTCGATCAAAAATTATTAATTCAATGTTTCGTTTGTCCTCTGGACACTACAACAAAATTACTTTGACTTTTGAGCACTACAATTATACTTGACTTTTTTCTGAATAAACCATATAATGCAAAGCAAAAAAGAGATCCTTTCAAAAAACTAAAGTAAATAAATTAATAACAAGAATTGTGTTCATAAAATAAGGAATATGGTCGGCATGATTCTTTATTTTTAAGATCAGTGGCTAATTAATTAATTAACCTCCAAACTAGACATCTGCATGAATGTACTCGTACAATGAATCCACATCCACATTCATGGATGTTAAGTCGTATTCAGAGTACACAACAACATTTAATGAGTGCAAATGAATTCAACCACCGAAGTTGTGTTGTTCTTCGTTGTGCTTTGTCCGATCAAACGATCAAACTTGAAAGCACAACATTCAGTATGATGGACTACAAGAACAAGTTATACAACATCAATGAGTCCAATGAGTGAACATCATGCAATGTATTTTGTATTCTATGTATTCATTCAACGACTTAACATTGATGGTGGGCATTTATTGTACAGGTACATGCAAATGTTTACCTTGTACACTCTTTAAAACTTTATTAGTGAGCAATAGTGAGAAATAATGTCTTTTATTTTTTTCTATTGAATACAAGTAAATAAAAACTCCAGAAAAATAAGTAAAAGTTAAATGAAATGATGTAAGAAAAATCGGCGGAATCTTCCTCAACGGATATACAAAAATAGGCCTATGCAGAAAATTAGAGTACAAAGTTATATGAGGAGTACAAATAAGTATTTGCGGAAATACATATGCACTTTTTTGGGACTTAAAGACTTTTCATTTGTTCTTTATGTTTTTGTGGACGTAGGTCATTTTCTTACAAATTGTCTCTCATTACATTTCTTAATAAATTTGTACTTTTGTTGATTTTTTACATGATAATATTATTAAGTAGAGTAGAGATTGTTTATTAAAAAATATGAATAAAAATAATTAAAACGTCCTTAAGTTCGACAGGGCCGACCTTTTTATACTCACCGCCGCGAGGTGAACAGTCAAATTTTAAATATTGTTTTTTTATTAATTTAAGTTTGTTATGAATTAATTTTTTTACGTTGTATTTATTTTCTGTTCATATTAATGTTTTAGATTCTAATATGAATTAAAATGAAATACGTTTTTTTTCATTAATTTAAGTTTGTTATGTATTGAATTGTTTTTTACGTTGTATTTATTTTTGTTTATATTAAATAAAAATAATTAAAAACTTTAAAAAATAATAATAAGTAAAAGTTACTTCAAGATTCCACTATCACTAAAACCATCGACGAAAGCAATAACGGGATTGGGGGATATATAACCAGTAAGGAATGTAGGAAAGACGGACGGGGCCGACTATATGATACCTTTTTGGGTATATTCAACAGATGAATCCTAACAGATGTCGCATTTTTGAAGGACCAGTAAAATGAAATTTGATCCATAAACATGTCATTCTGCAACCTATACTAAATCATATCAATCGGACACCCCTTGATTATTTGGATAAATATCTGATAAACTTGAGAAGTTTGGTGCATCATTTACCTAAAATCGGACGAAAATATATATGGGGGCTATATCTAAATCTGAACCGATTTTCACGAAACTTAACACACATCATTCTAGACCGATTTTAATAGAGTTCGTCCTTGGGCCAAATTAGTGACCTATGCCAAATTTCATCCAATTCGGATCATACATGTGACCTGTACTTTGTTTACAATTTGACATGGACAGACGGACGGGCATGCATAAATCGACTTAGAAAGTGATTCTATGCATATACTAAAAAGGAACCATGTGTCTATCTAGTTTCCTTTTGCCTGTTACAAATATATGCACAAAGACATAATACCCTGTACCACAGTGTGGTGAAGGGTATAAAAAATTGGCTTTGCATAAGGGGGCCAATATTGATTACTTCTCGGGAGGATATACTTAATGTGGACTGATAAAGGCCATTTTGGAACGTAACGGTTTAGTTTTGTATCTCGACACCCCCGAAGGTAGTAATATTACAACAGAAGTCTTAACATATTATAGGTTATGAACTGACATGTTATAGTACTGAATATCCCCCACACTATGGGGTATCCAATTCGAACCCAAATTAAAACGAATTTAAAAAAAGTGCGTTTAAAAACATCTAAATATTGAAAAAAGAAAAGTTCTGCTATATAGTGGATACATTACTAGATATTCATAAATTTTGTCCTTATTAAGAATATATATACTTTATATGGGCGGAAATGACTATTTCTATGAGTTACAAAAAAAAAAAAAACATAACATAACATACCCTTCATACTTTTGTGGATGGTGTAAAAACCAAAATATCTCGTCAATTAATTCGGGTAATTCGAATACTACTGTATAATTCGACACACTCATTGTGTAAAACATGTTCGTGTACGAACTTGCCGCATTTGTTCAAACTTTGTGTGTTACAACATACATTCATACCGAAGTAAACATACACAATAAATACCGGTTCGTCGAGTCTGAAACGTGGATTGTATGAATCAAACGAATACACAACAAATTCGAAACTCTCATACCTGAAGCAATTCATATTTGTTGTACCCTCACTCATTGGACTTCATTTCAAACAAATTTATAGAATAGAAGCCATTACTTTGTGTGAGTGACTCATGGGTGGTGTTTTTGTGCATTCATGCAGATGTCTACTCCAAACTAGTCGAATGCATGTCAATATGACCAAGCGCGGTGATAAAAAGAAATACTAACTTTTAATAGAATATACAGAGTGAGATGAAAAAACTGCAACCAACTTCAGACTGCTGTCATTTCTAAGCCACTCGTCCGACAGCTGGTAAAATTATTCCTCATTATATTGTTTACATGCGTACAAAAGCATTTTGATGGAAATTTTCCAGAAAAAATGTTATTCATGATGGAATTCTAGCGTGATTTCTGTGTATTTGGCTGGAAAACCACAAGTGGAGCACTCCAGCATTTAAATGTGATTAAATCTTTTGTGTCATTACCGTGATACTGGTAGCGTAGCCCGACGTCAAGGAAGTGGACGGGAGAAAACAGCAACATCAGCAGATTCCAAAAAGGGCAAGAACTTACACCGCAACAGAAAGAAAATGGACTCAAAAGAGCTAAAGAGTTGCTTCGCTTGGTGAAAGTGGTGAACTGCCGAATTTGGATTTCTCCGATGAGAAAACATTCGTTTTCCAGCAGTTTGTAAACAAACAAAATTATCGTGTTTACTTGCCAAAGAGGTCAACTGAAAATGTGCATCTTCGGTTTTGATTTCATCGAACAAGCCATATTGAGAAAAATTTGTAATCAGATGTTAGCTATGCTCTACCTTGTAATAATTATGCCATGATTGGTCCAATTTCTAACAATTGAGAGAATTTATCGAAAAAAAAATTAATTTTGACAGAATAAAAAAAAAATATTAAAATTTCAAATTTTTTAATTGATAGTGAATGAAAGTAAAAATCTGAACGGTTTATATATGTATGTGTAGGTGGAATAAAAATTTGTTTTTTGGTTTATTCAATACATAATTCTTCTCATTCCTTGTAATTAGCGTATACAAAAAGAAACAACGCCGAACGCCGATTTATCAAAAAAATTGGTTAATTGAAACTGAAAATTATAAACTAATATTCGGCAGGAATTTCCAAACACATTACTTCGCATAAAAGTAAAATCGGATAATAGAAATCTGCATCGAAAAAACTAGGGGTCTAAAACCAATATTTCGATGAGGCACATTTTTATCGTAGCAAGTGTATATACCCTCATTAACCATAAGCATGTGGGTATAATAATTATGTTATTGAAAAAATATAAAAATGCATCAAAAAACGACAAAATTTTTAGAAAAAATTGAAAACATGAATGAAAAGTAATTAGCCATAGGTTCTATCTGTAATAATGAGAAAGATAATTTATTTTCTATCTGGAGACATGAATTAAAAATTGTGTTGTATGAACGGATTAATTCATGTACGTAATTCAAAGAGCGAACACAGTTGTTCAAATACCCGTCAGAACATGGCATAAGGGTGCTTTTTATAGAATATGTATTTTTAAGTTTTTACTTTCACTTTATTTAGATATGAAAATCGTGTGAAACATACGAAGATTTCAATGTCATAACAATATATAATTACATATTGTAGGACCGAAAGTTAAAAAGCAGTGGTGGTTGGTTTTGTTTACTTTATTTTCTACTTGATTCTTAGCGCGAGTAAGAATAGCTGTGGTGTCATGTGACTATGTCAGAACTGACCTTGTCTCACACATTAAGACACCCAACCTTATTCTCGTGCGAGAGTGAACAATGCATGGCTTAATTTCTAAGTTCTTACATACGTATGAAAGAAGTATCTTACAAACAGTAACCACGTAATGACTAGTATATTTGGCTTACCGACGGTTGCCCTATGAAATGTTACAATTATTTGAAATGAATGGTTCTGCACGTTGTTGGGATTCTTGTAAATTACATTCGTCTAAATGACTAAACCCCTTATGCCAACGCTTCATGTTATGCATCGCCCATATTCCTTTGTAAGGTATTCTGCTTTGCTGAAATGTTCCACATGTTCCACATAAAACAAATGGGCCCTTAAATTTTGGGACGAATTTTTTA